ATATAATAGGATATTCGTAAAGAGCGTTCCAAGGGACATAACTTTATGGGGGTTCGCTTGAAATAATGTAGAGGGCCCGATAGAGGGCGCGAGAGTCGATGTAATGCAACATTGCACTCGTTCATTCGAACTTTTAATTTAATATTGTAATCTAAATACGCAATTTTATGGAATAAATTATATGGTAGGTTCCCTGAGGGCTGATAGTATTATTGAGAGAAATGCATTTATTTTAGAGAAGTGTGGTGTGAAATAGTGCCTTTAAATAACAGCTCTTATCTTATTGACCTGGAAATAAACAGGAAGCCTATTCTTAGTAAAGGGAGAAAAATTTCTCAAAAGATTTTGTTGTGTTTAAAATGTTAGTATGGTTTCAAAACTTCTGTTGTACCAAATGTTTAATAAATGATATGCAATGTAAATATCATTTCATCATTTTCGATGAATGAAGATTTTCCGACAATGACTAGCCTTGCTTCAAGGCTGTACTGAAGACTAACCCCATGTATGTATAGTAATTCTATCCATAAATAGTCTAGATAAGAGTCTAAGGACGCCAGTTTCACCACTGCCAAACACCGTCTCCTCATCGACTGCCTGATGCTTGTGAACACGTGGTTGGGGATTCTGCGCCGCTATGCTCTTGCGAGGCGGCGCCAAGTTCCTGCAAATTCTGAGGTTGGTTCCTAAGACCACGAAGCCTTCTCCCCAAGTGCATCCCCAAACGTGCTCTATTGGATTAAGGTCAGGGGACCTCCATGGCCAGTCCATGACGTTGATTCCAGCGTTTTGAAGGAAATTTCGTGTCAACATCGCGGTATGCGGCCGAGCATTATCATGCTGGAACTGTAGACCTGGGCCATGAGCCGCCATGAAAGGAAGGAACGAGTTCAGGGAAGAGCACCTGGTCGCGGTAAGCAGCAGCTGTGAGGTTTCCACGGATGACCAGAAGTCGGGAACGGTCGTTCCCCACAGAAAGCACCCCATACCATGCAACTTCCGCCCCCGAATCTGTCGACTTCCTGTACACACAACATTGGGCATACCGTTCACGACGTCGTCTCCAGACTTTATGCCTGCCGTCCACGAATCTGAGTGTAAACCTGGATTCATCGCTAAAGACGACTCGATTCCAATCTCTCGGGTCCATCGGAGGTGACGTTGGGCCCACAGCAGACGTTGACGTTGATGAAACGGCGTCAATATTATTACGATATGGACGTCAAAGAATGGAGATTGGCAGCCTGCAACCGATTTCGAGGACAGTCGACCTCTAAACATCTCTGGTTCGTGTAGCCGGCAGAAATCTGTCACGTAGGTGACGTAGGACGACGTTGACGGTCTTCTGCTCGTGACGTCACGTGGACGACCCGACCTTGGGCGATCAGAAGTGATGCCAGTTTGTTGTAGACGACCTCGCAAGTCATACACAGTACGACGGCTACATCCCATTGCTTTTGCGACGTCAATAACTGATCTTCCCGCTTGCAACATGCCAACGGCACGTTCACGTTGCACATTTGACAATCGTGGCATTTCAAGTACCGTTAGAACTGTGGTTTAAAAGTGTTTTTCAATTCTTGAGGCCAATGCAAACACGTGCATATGAAGAAAACTTCGATGGAAGATCACGTGATCGACTGCACGTGCAAAACCTGATTTACAGAAACGTCATTTGCACGACGAATGGATGGGTTTGAGTGGGTTTTGCTATGCAGTCTAGAGTCGAAATATTATATTTGGGATCACACCAGAGTTTAATCTTCAGCAACCCATTCTTGTCGTTAGAGGCGACCGACGGGATCGGATGGTCATTCTTGCTGACTTGGTTGACACATGCCATCGAATCCCAGTTGCGTAGATTTGCAATCTACGAATAGCGATCGCCTTGGAGGTTACGGAAAGGGGCGAGTGATGACGAATGTGGGGGAAATGCCATACCTTCTATTCACTGCGCGTGTCATGATTTCAGCTGATGGTCCAGGGTAGACAACTCGCTACGTACAACGAGACGAATGGACAAAATGCAAGTTCCGTCTTACCTTCCGGAGACGTCAAAGTGGCAGAAATAAAGTTTGAATACTAGAGCATTGGAATAGTGGAAGATGACCATCTAGCTACGGATCCGGAGTTGTCAAGAAGGGTGAAGAAGAGTTGAATAATCTACCCTGTCCATAAAACTAGACATGGTATTAAATAAATGTATAAAAATAGAAATACGAATTAACTCAAATATGCAGACACTGCCTCGTCATAAAACAAAACAGAGAGTGAGTTGGTCCGCTGTTAGAAACATCACGCAATGCCTCGCCGAGGACATCACATCTCGCATTCAGTTGGGAATCGAACCTCGGTTATTGTCGTGATCAGCGAATACTTTATCAACTAGGCTACCCCTACGCCCAAATATACCATATGAATGTTTGAGAATACAGCATGCTTGTGGTTGAAAAGACTTCATGTTAAGGCCGGTGACTTAACTACATGTATATGAGTGAACCTCACCGTAGTCTCTCATAATATCAACCACTGGTATGTATTGTTTCGTTTGTTTGAATGCCGCCATATTGTCATAGTGACTAATTCAGGACAGCCATTGTACAAATATTTCTAAAGACCAAAAACTATGTATCCAAGCCATGTGAGACTTAATTGTAATTATTTATAAGATGCTAATCTCCATTTTAAATGCTCATCAGTAACGAATTGTACATTGACTTGTCAGCCATCCTGTACCACTCTGTCTTTCCATCCCCAAACACTCTGTGTGTATTTTCTTTCCCGTAAACTGACGTACTACACCTGGACACACAAACAAAACCAGCTAAAACCTTTTGGTGTTTTGTGTTTTTTCCATATGTACTAAAGAAAGCCAACAGAGTGCATTCCCACCAAGTTATGTGTAAATAGAAATAGCCACGCAAATACGAATCAAGATACTATCTCTATAATGTGGGCATTGTAACGATGGAAACCCGACATATTACATTAAATCACGAACATCTATTGATCATGTTTAACGAATATTGGAAACTGTGTTTCACGTTAATGATTATATTGCTAACTTCACTGTGACTTTGTCTCTGTATATAAGGCATAACTGTGTTTCACGTTAATGATTATATTGCTAACTTCACTGTGACTTTGTCTCAGTATATAAGGCATAACTGTGTTTCACGTTAATGATTATATTGCTAACTTCACTGTGACTTTGTCTCAGTGTATAAGGCATAACTGTGTTTCACGTTAATGATTATATTGCTAACTTCACTGTGACTTTGTCTCAGTGTATAAAGCATAACTGTGTTTCACGTTAATGATTATATTGCTAACACTGTGACTTATAAGGCATAACTGTGTTTCACGTTAATGATTATATTGCTAACTTTACTGTGACTTTGTCTCAGTGTATAATAAGGCATAACTGTGTTTCACGTTAATGATTATATTGCTAACTTTACTGTGACTTTGTCTCAGTGTATATAAGGCATAACTGTGTTTCACGTTAATGATTATATTGCTAACTTCACTGTGACTTTGTCTCAGTGTATAAGGCATAACTGTGTTTCACGTTAATGATTATATTGCTAACTTCACTGTGACTTTGTCTCAGTATATAAGGCATAACTGTGTTTCACGTTAATGATTATATTGCTAACTTCACTGTGACTTTGTCTCAGTGTATAAGGCATAACTGTGTTTCACGTTAATGATTATATTGCTAACTTCACTGTGACTTTGTCTCAGTGTATAAGGCATAACTGTGTTTCACGTTAATGATTATATTGCTAACTTCACTGTGACTTTGTCTCAGTGTATATAAGGCATAACTGTGTTTCACGTTAATGATTATATTGCTAACTTCACTGTGACTTTGTCTCAGTGTATAAGGCATAACTGTGTTTCACGTTAATGATTATATTGCTAACTTCACTGTGACTTTGTCTCAGTGTATAAACGTTAATGATTATATTGCTAATAACTGTGTAACTGTCACGTTAATGATTATATTGCTAACTTCACTGTGACTTTGTCTCAGTGTATAAGGCATAACTGTGTTTCACGTTAATGATTATATTGCTTACTTCACTGTGACTTTGTCTCAGTGTATAAAGCATAACTGTGTTTCACGTTAATGATTATATTGCTTACTTCACTGTGACTTTGTCTCAGTGTATAAAGCATAACTGTGTTTCACGTTAATGATTACATTGCTAACTTTACTGTGACTTTGTCTCAGTATATAAGGCATAACTGTGTTTCACGTTAATTATTTTATTGCTAACTTTACTGTGACTTTGTCTCAGTATCATACAATGGCTAGCGTTCTTGGCAGGATATTTTCGGTATCCGTTGGGGTCATATACGGATGTCGATGCAAATTAGAGAGGTCATATGCAAATCGTAAGGACAACCTTCACAGTGTAAACTAACCATGGCGTCACGCCCATCTATCGGCGATCGTGTCCGTGTTGACGGCCGTAATTTCTAAAGTTCCACACGAGGTTGTTGTAATTTCCAAACGTAAGCTAAGATTTGTTGACAACAATACGTGCTTTAACTTAAAAACTTACTGGGAACAAGATGACCTAACGCAGTCAATTCAGTGATCAGTAGAAAATTGTCACCGAGCTTGTGACCTAACGTATTACGTATTACTACCCACGTATTTGTGACGTCATAGATATATGTGCACATTGCAGCTTCATGATTTGTTGCAATCAGACTCGCATTCTTTTTAAATAATAAAGTAAGAATGACATTGTATGATAAATAGGTTATCACACCCGTGTGTTTTGGGATGGTTAATGTCCTGTATTAGGAATAAAAACTAGGCTCGCTAAATACATTGTTTATTCCTAATGCAGGATATTAACCATCCCAAAACACTCACGTGACAACCTATGTATAATTTTTGGATAAAAAATATGTCAAGACGTAATTGTTATGGAGAACAGGAAAGACGATTACTGAATCAATACTGCCTGATAATCACATAGCGTACCTTTTGCATCCATGCCAACAGAGTAATGCATCTTAAACCCTAAACTGCTGATCCTGTTATCAGTTCTGAACTTGATGATGAATCTGTCCTGAAAGACATCTGAAATAAAAACTTTGTTACAATGATCGTTGAAAGAGTTGTATCATCATTGTGAGCTCACATTAAACTGTAACAATTCGAGGTTCTTTCTTCTAGTAACATAGACGCTTGCCCGAAGCAAAGAAAACAGGACAAGTCAAAACGTTGATTACACAACAGTCTCGTTTCCTCTTGAATGGGTGCCGTCCTACTGCGCAACTTAGTACAATAACCACTCCACAAATTCATTCAAATGGATACATAAATATTAATCAGTATTATTTGATACATCTAAGCACTTGTATATTGCAACACTACGCTCCTTCTAATCCTTGCAAACACGTCGTGCAGCGTGTTCTGTCGTACAACGTGCTCTGACAAACGGAAATCTGGAAATCGTGAAAATCTGAAAACAAGGCTCTACCGCTAGAAACGTTTGGCGGTCTGGAACGGACTTGATATTATATCAATCACATTGTGCGTTACAAAACTACACTGAATAAGCTCCAAAACTCCAAAAATTTGAGACCAACTCATTCAAATGGATACATAAATATTAATCAGTATTATTTGATACATATAAGCACTTGTATATTGCAACACTACGCTCCTTCTAATCCTTGCAAACACGTCGTGCAGCATTGTGCGTTACAAAACTATACTGAATAAGCGCAAAGAACACACAACTGGTGTAACCAGTGAACCAAATGCATTGTGAATCATTTTACGACTTCATCAAACAGAGGCAGTCTGTGACGTCTTAGTTAAGGTCATGCTGCCTACACCTCGCCATAAAATATAGAAATACGATGTTATTACAATTTATAATTAAAATTCATTTGTAAATACCATTTTCTTATGAAACAAGAAATTGGAATTAAGTCTAACCTTAGTTGCTTGTTATGTCTATTTTCACTTTCACACGAGAAAATTTGGATCGGCTGACAAGCAGGTCATCAATACTCAATACCCTACTAGGACGACCTTGAGTAAAAGTACTGACCCAAAATACTGGTTAAACATCTTGAAAACATAATTGAGTCAGTGTTATGAACACTGGCTCTCGCACCAGCGCATGGAAGTGAGGACTGTTTGTACTTGCATCGGTTGTTACAGCCCTTTATACAGACAAGATACCAACTCCTGACAAGACTCTGATGCTTGGTGTAGTGTCGTCCAGTAGGGAACATACTGTCTCGTCCAGTAGGGAACATACTGTCCACTTTCCTTCTGTATCCAGCCCCACTCAGTTGGAGATGGGAGTTCAGGCTGTGGAAGAATGACTGACCCCATATGTGACCGGCCTGGTAATCTACCCTTTTGACATGCTGTACAACAGCTGCATGTGTTGATTTGATGGCATAAATTGAGTTTTTCTTCGCAAATAATCTCAAATAAAAATGATTGAACATAAAAGAAAAATATTCCCAAAGCATCCTTCCATGATGGTAGGGAAGGAACAAATGCCATATAGTGCTCTTACTTCGTGTAGGTTGGAAGCTGAGGGAGGTTCTAAGCTTACTACATCTCTGTATACACGAAGTATCACCGATCTCATCCAGAAGGATATAGTTGTTTTGGATACTTTTGCTGTCAGATCTCTCATGAGCGGGATGTAGAGTCATCTTAACTTCTGACGGCTCGTGCTCATTCTATGTAGATAGATGCGTTGGACTCTGACCAGACGCAGTGATAAGTCTTCCTTATCTTCATTGCCAAGTATTGAAGATAATGGTGGGATGTGAAACTGTAGGTCAGGCTAATTTTTGGCAATAAAATCCAAACGGAGACCAAGATGCACTGACGCATTGGGACCTTTATCAAATCTGATGAGGCTGAGGTCTATAGAATGGATCTCTGACATTCTGAATGAGTTTGCAGCCTTCACCATGGTGATGACAGAGCTGATGGGTGCTAAGATTGAGCCCAGTCTTGAGGTTCTTTGAGGTTCCGAGGTTGTATATCTGCTGGAATCCCTTACTTCTGGCAAAATGGTCAAGACTCAAGACTTATCATCACACAGACGTCTGGTAGATCTACATAGAGACAGGGAGCTGCGCCTGGTCAAGTTCTTCTTGATATGATCCATGCGTAGAGATCGAAGACACTCGGGTTTTGATGCTTCTGCTTCATGTAAGGATAAGTCTGAGTTTTAGACTTAAGTTAGAGAGTTTTTACTCAAAATTGAGAAAACACATTTCCCAGAATGAATTGAAATCGATATTAAATTCAACATAGTGGATAATTTGAGTTTGGTGAATAGAATACTGAAGTTGTTCGAGCTGAGTTAAAATTCACCTGTTTCAAATAGTCAAACTCAGTTTGAAATTGGAGTAAAAACTTAAGTTTGTTTCGAGAATTCGGGGCCAGGTCATCAATGACTGAATGGACAGTCGAGGGTCCCAGGGGTTAATGGCTCGGATAACTGCCTGACCTCAGTGATTGATGTGAAGTAGCTTCTCTTAAGGAAACCACAGCCCTGAGGCTGGGAGAAATATGCCATATAGAGTAATTGGGACTGGTAAGAAAACAAATAAAACACTTCATCTCTTCATGAGTTAATTGGATATGTTATTTTAATTATATGTGCATGTTTGTTCAGCATAATTCATATAACCCGAATTTCTGAATAAAGCAATATTTATTGCAATTATATCATATTTGATAAAAAAGGTATAATACAACATATATTGCATTATGTATTTATAAATGCCTTATTTTTGAACGTGTAAGTTTATTCGCCTGCAAAAATAACAATATTACTATTTATGTACTGAGATATATAAGCGTTATTTTCGACCCATGATACTCCCGGGATACTTTACAACTCCCCCTCTCTTAAGGGTTTTCACTTGGACATATGTTCACTAATTCTAACAGTTTAAATTGGGGAACGATACCCAAGAAGTAGAAACCTACAGGCACGGATATCGAACTGGGCTGGCTTTCTCGTTTGGCAATTCATTTTATTGTGTGTTAAAATTGAAAGTAGTAGATACATTTCAAATGTGGATCTCTATCTCTATATGAAACCGTTTGTATCCGTTGCTTTTATCCTATCGAAGAAGCCACCCATCATAGTGATGAAATGTGTACACATCTGTTGTCAACTGAAGATTTATCTTACGATCTGTAACTAGGTCACTCTGTTCACCAACAAGTTGTCTCAACGTCAGATCGGAACCAGTGCTTTTGACCTTATGACCATCACGAAGGACACTATCCTAACGGTATGTTGAATACATACACATATTACTCAACCACAATGTTGTTTGCCAGGTTGTAAAATAACACAGTTCTATCCTCGACTAATATATGACATAATATCCCTACATATCTTCTCTTATGTACGTCTCTGTCCTACAATTGCTTCGCTGCTTCCTGAAGAACCAGTTAGAACTGACTTCAAGAAAACATGCTGGACAGGATCAGTATTCAGGTTTGTTGATTCGGTTAAATCAATAACTTTTGCTTCTTTGTTTGAACAGATAATCGGTACCCTCCTCACCTACGTTTTCATTGTGATCCAGTTTAAACCGGATTCAAGTGGTGGATGTCGACAGGATGGAAATGCTACGGCAATATAGTTGGACCGACTCATACTTGAAGTTGAATCTTTCGTTATTCAGTGAGATAGTTAGTTCTTGTCACATCGGCTGTTTTTAAACGAAGCGTGACTAAAACATGTTATACATCGATAAGAAATGTTTAGACCTGTCGACAAAGGAGAGTAAGAACTAGAATATCACAAATAAAGATTTAAAGCTTGTGTCTAAGCTGTAATGTGTGACTATCCATAACAATACTATATAGAAATGGGCTACAATTCAGTTTCAGTTATGTGTTTAGTCAGCTAAATTACTATTTTTACTTATTTTTTTACAATGTATACTACCCATCAATAGTTTAGACTCACTTAAAGCACTCACTATATGTTATGCATATATATATGGTTACATCGAAGATGAATTTCTCCACTAACTTGGGTAAACCAACTGCAAACTGCAGGTTATTTACTGGCCAGCACACTAGTCGCCAGATGTATCTCCCATGGAGCACTTGTGGGATGAAATTGGTCAAAGTCTTTCGCGGCGACAACAGATTCGAAACATCCGGGAACTTGAGGCTGCACTACTGCAGAAATGAAATGCCATCCTCAAGAACTCTATTCGAACGCTTATTGATTCAATGAGGAGACGTTGAACTGTATGTGTCAATGCAAATGTCGGTCACACGCGATATTGACTTTTCGATTTGACCCCACGTGTGTTTGATCCTTTCTGACTGGGGGAACATTTAAATGAATGAGCGTCGTTTCTGTGTTGTTGTTTTTGTCAGACGTCCATCTGTTATTATCCACTAAACAACTATCAATTCCTTACACGTGCTTTTCATATTCTGAACTTTTATAAGTGGTGCGTTTTCAATGATGTTCAGTATATATGTGGTTACATCGAAGATGAATTTCTCCACTAGCTTGGGTGAACCAACTGCAAACCTTATGTAGATGAATGCACGAGGATCATGCATCACATTGCTGAAAAGCATGTGCAAATATCGAACAGCTGCGTTTTGATGTAAAGTTTGGCTAAGAATTCACCAATTTTTACTGAATTTCATCATTTATTGAACTCATGACAATTATCTTTCAGTGTTACGAATTTGTTTTCCAATACATCAGTTCATGTGTGAACAGTACCCATAAACAGTATGGAATATTTTACAAAATCTAGTTTAGAACAGTTGACTGAAGTAAGTGGCTGCATTTACGCTAGTGAGTCTAAACTTTTGATGGGTAGTATATATACTCAGCAAATTGTATCAATTAATTCAATTTCTTTTTAAGAGTCAGTAAGTAAATGTGCACTGATTTTAAAAAGATCTTTATTGGGGATCGTTCATTATAGGGGATAGAGAACCTTGCAATAAATAGCCATGTACATATCTTAACTGGTCAATATGACATCGTCTTAAAATGACCTCTTCAACTCTAGAGAGGCAACAAATCTAGGTATAGGTGTTTGAGAAAGATGTTTTTATTTGATGTATTATATTTGTCTCAATTCTTTTGCATAAGATCCCTGATGTAACGCCTAATGATTTGTTTACGTTTTTAATCACTGAGTGGAATAAGCAGTGGTGTCACTCTGTGTGGTGTTGTTCTGTATTGTTGGACGTTTTTTTATGATTTCCTACTTTCCCCCTGTCATAGTTGTACTGACGGTTTTGGCTTTACTTAGAGTCATTGTGGAAAAAAAATATTCAAGAGCTGATGTATGTGTTGGGAAACTATTAAGCCCAAATCTGTTTCTCCCTGAAATAATTATTAATGTGTTTGCAACCATGAACAACGAAAATACCCCACCATCCCCACCTAAACCCACCCCTCTCTATTTTTGCTACTTGTAACAAGAGAAGAGGGCTGGAACCATTTGATCCATGGATCTCCTTTGGAATCGTATCTATAACATACCCATCAGTCTTATATTGTGTCCGAGGCTTTACACAATACTAGTACTTTCTATACAATTCTGCATTGCGTTGGTTTGCCTTACATTGGCTTCTGTGATGGAATGTTTCATTCAGAACTTTCTTCCTACATCAGGTTGACACAGCCACATACCAACAAACTACTTATCAAACCAGACCAGGGTAGACTGACATTAATGATATTATTAATGATTCTGTGGAAGCTAAAGACCAAGTCGGGAATCAATACCACTTTGTGAGTGCCATGTCTGAAAATGAGCTGACGGTGCGTCGGGGGTGAAAGGTTTCAATGACAACGTTAGGTTTATGTCGTGTACTGTCTTTCAGTGGTGCAAGCAGTGTTGCCTGTAAACGGGAAAGACAATACCTTAACTCGACCATTCACTTAATCATCCTTCGACGAAGTTAACAAATTTATTATTTTCATGCATTGCAAATATTTTCAAATGTCACTCAGTGTACGACATGATGCTCATAACAATTTCCTGTAGATTCCACTTATTCCTTGATAGTTAAACAAACCTAATCAGCCACTGCATTAACAACCCGTTTGTTCAATTGCATAACAAACTCTAGCTGGATGGGAAACAATTATGTGCCACAACTTGATCGATAGATCACTTCAGATTACTTTCATTATTATGTTTTCCATTAAAGGCTTTTAAAACGTTTAGCTAGTAATTGACAATCACATGCAAATAAATATATGTGTGTATTTCATGTTTTACGTCTTGAATTAACTGATGCATCATGAAGACTTTTAAGCCAATTTCAGGTGAAATGTATTTCAGAATAGAACAATAACGTGCTTCCTGAACGGAGAATACAAAACCCAATCTGATGAAGATGTCAAGGGTTTTCAAACATCCATTAGTGTGGATGCTGTACAGGAAACATTGACAAGTATCCAAAGTCTGATAGTGTTGTCCGGGCTATCATGTGACAATCCGGAGCCGAAATCAGTAAAAAGGTGCAATGGCTCACCAGTAACTTCCTGGATATATTCAAGAATGTTGTGCATATGTAATAATTTCTGATGTGTTCTAGAACAGAAGGGAAAGGAAACTGCTTCATTTTAGACTTATCCCATGAGACCAACAAACCCTGATTCAATCATCAGTGACAGTTACAATTTGTTCTACCCTATCCATACTATGGTATAATAATGCTGATTATGATATGTGAAGACGTAAACTGTACTCAAGGGATTACAAAATGTACATTCTATACAATTCTATACTTTGTTGGTTTGACTTACATTGGACTCTGTGACAGGATGCCTCACGGTGGACTGTTATAATAGTCAACAGGGAGTCAGCCCGTGGAAGAACCAGATGTGCAATATAATGTAATTAACAATTCTATTCCAACATTGGCTAAGTCTCCAAACCAATACAAATAAATTCAGCTATGTATTGTATGGCAGTAACTATGTCAGAGTCAGAGTCAGTAAAAACCTCTCACAACAGAGCAGCTGAACCTAGACAGTATATAAGCAATAAACTTTTTTGGTGACTGAAGATAATGAGATGGTAAGAAATCCACATGCCCTCAGCAATCATTCTGGAATAAGTCTTTGTAGCTTTTTCACCACTGAGTCACTAACTAGAAGTCTAAAAATATCACCACTGTCACTAACGGAATCCAACAGTACGAGGTAAAACAAGTGAAACACGGTTGCACAAGTACACAACCTCATAACAACACCCATTATATATTATCAACAATGATCAATTAACCAACACCATTGCAGACAGATATAAATGATGTTATTCATGATAGTCAATGACATTTATTTCCTTGTTAAATAATGCAACGTAATGGCATTCTAGACTCTCAAATTTGACATACCGGTCCACAATATGTTATAGAACAGAATTCCATTAACCAAATTACAGACAGTTCCATAGCATCAAACTCAAAGGTTGTTTTCATGCTTTGAAAATGACTTTCATATATACATTTTCAGACAGAGGTGACGAAATGTAGGTTTCAAATGCAGACAATATTTGCTCGAAATTACAAATGACCTTATCAGTTAATACATTAAGACCCCATCAATAAAACCATAAAAATGTTTGAATTCATGGAATAATGTGCCATAGCTTGATTGATAAACCGTTTCCGATAGCTTTCTATTTCGACTTACATTAAAAGCTTTTAACTGTTTAGGCTCGTACTGTGAATGTAATTACAGTCAGATGCATAATGTTATATTTACTCACACTGGATTCGCCTGAGCACTTAAGAGCATTATAGAACGTTTGTGATATTGAATTTTGTTATTGAGTTAACTAATGCATCGTCATGGAAACGGGTATCTTCAAACACTGGTCACACTGAGTTGAGAACAGTACGAGCTGAAGAGCCAGTCCAAGAATTTATCACACATATATTATCCAGTCTGTGGAAGATGTTTAAGGTTGTGAACAATGCCGTTGGTTCATCTAGTGAAACAGATGATGCACAGGACACACTGACATGTATCCAGAGACTGATAGCTTTGTCCGGATGTTCATGGGACTATCAGCAACCAAACTCAGAAAAATGCTGCAACGGCACGACGGTAGCTTCCCGGATATATTCAGTTATGGTGTGCGTATTTTACATGTTCCACTGTATCTATATGATTACGTGGTATATCGACTCTAAATCTTTCATCGACGCAAGTCTTACCATCGTTAACCACATTGTGGGTTTTTTAAGTTTAACCTATTGGATTCTCAGTACCAACATCCACAGCAAGGTTCGCATATTCTACAAACGTCTTTGCGAAGCACAATTGAAGTTTGAAAGTTGTGTTTCAGCAACAAGACTGAGGCAGAGGGTGAAGAAGACATGTGTATGCATTACGTTCTCCGCAGCATCTATTGGTGTGGCCACCGGATTATTTATGAACATGCTAGGTGATACATCCACTTATTTCTTTTGGCCTTTACTAGTTTTGTCTTCGATAACAAGTGGTTGTATCACCCTGCTAAACCATTCGTTATTGCTTCTATTCTTGTGCATCTCCCTTCTACTTACTTATGAGTATGATAACTGCACAATGAGACTGACAAGGGTTTCTGAAGGGTCCGTGAAAGAAGAGGAGATTGAGGACATTCGAGGCTACCATGCATCCTTAACAGACCTGGTGGAACATGTGTGTTCCCTCATGTCCAGATACGTCGCTGCTGGCTACGTCAGCTCCTTCCTTGCTGTATGCTTCTGTCTGTACAACATCATCAACGATGATAAGTCTCTTACGACCCTTTCTGTCACCTCATTTGCTGTGTCCTCGTCCATTATGCATCTCGTCGCCCTCACCTATACCGGTGTCAGACTGCATGAAGCGGTAAGGGTTAGAATATTGTTGTAAAGGTGTAAAATGACATACATAATGCAGAAACTGACACATTCCAAAAACTAAATGTACTGAATGATCACAAATAGATTCTATGATTGGACATTTCTAAGTCATAAAGCTTTCTTAGGCTTTCTCTAATGCATTGTTCTTAAAACGAACCCATGTGAACAGTGTTTCATGATTCCACAATACCGTGACAATTTTCACAAGTTACATATACTCATACTGATCTAAGATAAAATCACCTATGTCGGCAACCATGTCGGCAACCAATGCTGGATCAGTTGGTGACAATACACATCCGGTCGCCGGATTAGACAGCGATGATTACTATATAAACACATAATCGTTCATTTCATGTCGTGATCCGGAATAGCAGAGCTTTTAAATGATGATAAATGTACGAGCCACGGACGGGACTGAGATTTTATGCTGGTGTTATACAATTTGCCGGATTGGACATCTGTGGCAGCTTCCACTGTCTTTTAATCCAAATACGTGTAATGATAATTCTTGTGACATAAGCAAAGTGTGGCTTTCTTGAATTTAGCCGTCTCTGCCATTCTTCCAAAATATTTCAACCGATTAATTGCTGCCAAAAGCAAATCGTCCACGAACTGTGCGTTCACGAATCACCTTCAAATACATATAGGGGTAATTCCAGGTGTTTGCAAAAGTTGAAATTGAAATGATTGAAATCCTTTCCTTTTCATCATATATATTTGTATATATATATATTTCATGTATACAGGCGCATCAACCTCTGAATATTCTGCATGAATTGGCTGGGAGAAATATGCCAGATAGAGTAATTGGACTGGTAAGAAATCAATTATTACTGTTAACTGAATGACAACTCTTCTTGAGTTAATTAGATATGTTCCTTTAATTACATGTGCATTGTTGTTCAGCATAATTCCTATAACCCGAATTTCTGAAAAAGTCAATATTTATTGCAATGACATCAAAGGGAATGTAAAAAATTTCCAAGCTCACCTACACAGACTTCCATGCATAAAGATTCCACACTTACTGAATACTTCTGCAACACACTTTCTCACTTCACTGTAACCTCCTCTGATGTTAGAAGCCAACGGTTGCTGACTTCCCTGCCAGAATGTCAACTGTATTGAATAATTTAGAATACTGCCATATGTTTCTTTCTCTGGTATATGAACTTTCTTGGAAGTGGAATGATTTTCAGAATAAAATATTGACAGACACCATTGGAAACACAAAATCTACTGATATCTGTTCCATGCTGACTGACTCGTGTCGATATTCCGTGCTATGTCTTCCCAACATAAATCATCACAAGGGTAGAGTCAACTCCATGTGACTCTCTCTCTCTCCCCTCTCTCTCTCTCTCTCACACACACTCTCACACACCACCATCACCATCCTGAATTAGCTGCATTTCGGTGGAATGTCAATGGCTCCGGCGGATTTTAGTTTTAAGAAATAACATTTTCTCTTCACTGTACGTTTACTGAAACGTCGAGGTCCATAAAGGTCTGACAGATCGTCTGGCTCTATTAAAGCTCATTTGTTGGACAAACAAATATGTGGAAGCCATTCTGTTTTTAACTTGACATGATCGGATGAAGCGTTGAGATTCTGCAGGTAACTTAAAACGTCATTTGTTTGCTAACGTTTGCTGGCCAATGGTCAACAGTCGATGAATGACAAACAACATCTCTTGCAATAGGCATCAATGACATGCAGCATTGCGCATACCAATAACTTTGCTTGTCAACAACGAAATCAATTGATTTTCCAAATCATCGAGTTGTAAGATAAGTTTACACGTGATGTCCGCCTTTTAATCAAGTTATGGTGACCGAAGGGTCCAAATATTCATAAAATATTCATAACATTATTATTATATGAATACAAATGACTGCATGAGATAATTAACACTCATAACATTCATATTTGTGTCTCTGTCGAAAAAGACTACCCATTATATGATACATTGTGATGAAATTTTTACGTTGCCTGTTGTCAGCTGAATGTTTATCTTATGATCTTTACATCTAGGTCACTCTGTTCACGAACAAGTTGGCTCAACGTCAGATCGGAATCAGTGCTTTAGGCCTCATGACCATCACGAAGGATACTATCCTGACGGTATTTTGAATACATATACTCGCGATTATCCACAATGGTATTTGTCAGTTTGTAATATGAAACAGTTCTTTTCTCCACTAAATATAAGACATTATAACCATAAACAGGATCAGTGGGCGGACTCACTGATTTAATTGATACAGTGCCGTTTCCCAACTGCACAGATCGAAAGTCACTGTGTCAGTTTAAGTCATGTCTTGTCCAGTTTCCATTATTTAAAGACCCCTGATCATATAGCTGAATAAAGGCTTGAATGCTGCCTTGAAAAAAACAATATTGCAATAACTTTTTCTTCTTTGTTTGAGCAGATCATCGGTACCCTTCTCACCTACATTTTCATTGTGATCCAGTTTAAACCAGAATCAACCGGTGGATGTCAAGACGGAAACGCTACGGCAATATAATTGGACCAACTAATACTTGAACCTTTCGTTATTCAGTGAGATTGTTTGTTGTTATTTCTTGTCATATCGGCCGTTTTTCAACCGAATCGTGACTGAAACAAGTTATACATTAATAATACATTTTAGACTAAAAAACCTGTCGACAAAGGACAGTGAAAGAACTGGAATATCACAGATAAAGACTTGAAGCTTGTGTCTAAGCTATAATGCTACAGTTTATCAGCATCCAAAGTTTTCTGCAAGGTCCCTGAGTTGGATGTATACAATTTCTCATTTATAATCACTGAATGAGATAACAAGCAGTGTCACAGAGTGTTTATATTGCTGGTTTATCTGTGTTACCAACGATGTGAACATGACTGGACAAACAACAAAAGATGTCATGTTGGCCAGTACCGAGATCATTGGAACAGTTATCCGATAGTCTTGATGCCAAAGACCTAGATTCATTGACGGTGGCGCTGGAAACTTTGTCACCATCCTTGGGTGCATCTGTACATATAGATGTGAAAGCATCGTCTATGTTTCTTAATTCATTATATTCTTGTTGATAAATAAGTTGATTCTTTCAGCTACCGCATTAATAACCCGTTTGTTAAATCAGAAAGGTTTCAGGGCAAACAAGTATGTGCCAGACATTGATTGACAGAACAATTCAGATAATTTTCAATCATACTTCCCGTCATGTATGTAAATCCAATTTCAAACAAATCATTGTTTCATGCAGGTAGCAATGGTATTGTAAGACCCCATGGTCTCTAGTATGGTGATCTTCCTTTGGTTGCTCGCGATCTATATTCCATTTTATATATTGTATTGTCCCAAATAGGTATACAATTTAAATACTAATTTTAATATTTTAAAAATTGATATTCAATTTGTTTTTTCTGTCCTTTGTCGACAGATATTATACTCTAACATTAATTATTGTTAACGTGTTACCTGTTTTACTCACGGTATGGCTGAAATATTGCCGGTGTGACTTTAAATTTTAACTCACTCACTCACTCACCCAATCATGTATTTTTCATGAAAGGCTTTTTAAGTGTTCAGCCAGTAACATGCGGTGTCATTAATAGTTCTGTGTATTCCATGTTTTACGTCTTGTCGTATTGAACTGTCTTCTGAATTAAATGATGCACCCTCAATACATGTGACTTCGAGTTGAGAATAGAATAATAACACACATCTTGCACAGAGAATACAACATACATGTATATTTATTATCGAGTCTGTTGAAAATGTCAAAGGTTTAAAATATAATGTCAATTCGTCCACTGGTACAGATGATGTGAAGGGAACATTGACAAGTATCCGAAGACTGACAACTTTGTACGGGTTATTATGGGGCTTATTATTATGCTATTTACATGTGTTTGAATTAAACTGATTACCAATTTCAAAAAGGGAGTGACGTTGTTTTGCGGTTCAGTATATATTATGCATGTCTTTCAAATCTTGAATTTTTCAAGGATGCACATCTTATATTCACTAGTCATATTGTAACTGTTTGTTTTACCCTATTGGAGTCTCAGCACCAACAGTCTCAGCAAGGTTCGCATATTCTACAAACGTCTTCGCTTTCAGTTTAACAGTTGTGTTGTAGAAACGAGACTGAAGTATAAGGTGAAGAGAGCATGTGTTTGCATTAGGCTCTTCTCGGATTCGGATGTGTGGCCATTGCAAGATGACCATGATAACTGACACGTCTAGGTACTTCTGGACTCGTGCTGAACAGTTCGTCAATGCTTCTGTTCTTGTCCATGTTCCTTTCCCTTATGAGTTTGATGATTGAGACTGTTAATTGCATGTGATGGATACATCAAATAAGAGAATATTGAGGACATTCGAGGTTACCATGCACCATTAAAAGACCTGGTAGAAATACACTCATTACTGTGTTTATTGTCGATTTTGTTAAATTTGATTGACATTGGATGGAATATGTTCGATGACTGCCACATGTTCTGTACATATAATGGCAATAGTGATTGTCCTGTCACAAGACACACACGCCCACGAAGAGGTGCGTTGTGACCACAGTGTGTTGTTATCATTACTCTTCAGCTCCTTGACACAGACACGTTGACCGGTTGTGAAAGCGTCTGTGGTATAAGTTGACGCTGGTGTGTATAATCTGGCAGAAAACCTTTCGTGACGGTGTTTGGTCACTTTACTAAAAAAATACAAGTACAATCGGTTTCTAATTTGGCATGATGCATTATAAATGTTCTACCATTGTGAATTTTGAATTTCATGAATTATGATTTAATCATAAAAATGTTGTCTATATAAGCTGTTATTATATCAAGACAAAATAACATCTTAACTGTCATGGTCGTTAGGCGACTAATCAGAACAGCCACCTGGACATGCAAATGTGCATAAAATCACTATCAGTGACGGCAAAAGGGGTCATCTCAAAATCAGATACATCACATTATCAAATGATGCTTTGCCATTTAACATGAAGCAAAAAGGAATACAAGGTAGTATTAGCGACATGTTGATTTTTGTAAATGCCACTAATCAGAACTGATAAGTAATAGTCATTTGGTTGAAAAGCATCGTAATTGGAAAGGAAGTATGTGTTGGATTTCTAATGCATTGTTATAAACAGAAACGCTTGCACATGTTGATTGTTGTCAAGGTATGAATCACAAATCATCTTCTACATCAGACTGATCAGAATCTGATTCATCCTCAAGATATACGCCACAAGGCATGTGACATGCCGTCAGTTCAGTAAAAGAGGAACATGACACTTCTCTACGGAAGTGCTTCCTATCACAAGTATTGCCTTCTACAACTGAGGGGGCGGTAGGGTAGCCTAGTGGTTAAAGCGTTGGCTCGTCACGCCGAAGACCCGGGTTCGAATCCCCACATGGGTACAATGTGTGAGGCCCATTTCTGGTGTCCCCCGCCGTGATGTTGCTGGAATATTGCTAAAAGCGGCGTAAAACCAAACTCAGTCAGTCAGTCTACACCTGAGACAAGGACGTTAATGTTCCGTTGTCAAACTTGCCCGTGGGACTGGGCGTCTTTTACAAATGCCGTAGATGCATAGATGTCTATTTGAGCAGCTACATCTGTTGCCAGATATGGTAACGACTGTAAGGGTTGCTGGATGGAACCTGTTTCAGACGTGCGTTGTTTAAACTTAATTTAGTTGTCATGACTGGTGGTCGGGCACTGACGGTCTATAACTTGATGTTTTGCTGACAAAGAGACCATATGCGCCAAATGGTGTTTCCATATGGTTGAAAGAAGCATAATCCTGCTGCCAAGTACCAAAGTGAAGCATATTTATACGCATATCGAATAATGGAAAAGAGGTATTCGGCACTTATTTAGACTGCATTGAGATGAAATGATAAGCTTCTGAGATGAAATGGCTGCAGTAGAGTTTAATAGAGTTTAATGAACCAGACTAAAATGAGAAGTAATTTACAGTGACACATTCAAAGGAAATAACTGACAATAATTCCCATTAGGTATCAAGCCTCAGGTGTTGACTGATCACTCAGTCTAATTTGTCAACTGTCCATTAGCGGTTTATTGCAGCTTCGGACAATTAGTTCCGTTTGTCGTGATGTTTGATTATGGTGATTCACATATTTGCTTTATTTTGTGGACCTAATGTCCATTCGGCGTTCTATGGTGACTGGAGCATGAAATGGAGACAGTTACATCAAATACTGTAAACCCAACCATCAAATGGTCTAACTTACAAAGAGACACAACGTACATTTAGTATCCAGTCTGTGAAAGATGTTTAATTTTTCCCCAGACACCACTGGTTCATCCAGTCAAACAGATGATGTACAGGCCACACTGACAAGTATCCAGAAACTGATAGCATTGTTCGGGTTATCATGGGACTATCAGCAGCCGAAGTCAGCCAAATGGTGCAATGTCTCGGCGGTAGCTTCAAGGATATATTCAAGTTTGGTTTTCATACTTCTTTCTCTGAATTTTATCCGGATGATACCATACTATACGAAAGCGGAATCATTCTCGGAAAAAAGTCTTACCATATCAAATAGCATCGCACTTTTTTTATTTTTAACCTTTGGGCTCTCAGTACCAACATCCACAGCAAGGTTCGTACATTCCACGAACGTCTTCGTGAAACAAGGTTGAAGTTTAACAGTTCTGTTTCAGCCACTAGACTGAGACAGAGAGTGAAAAGGGCGTGTGTATGTCTTCTTGTCTTCGCGGCATGTACTTGTGTTTCCAGTGGCGTAGTCTGGTATTGGCCTTTACTCGTATCATCGTCTATAGTTGGTGGTGTTACCTCTCTTCTAAACCATTCGTTATTGCTTCTGTTCTTGCCCATCTCGGTTTTTCTTACTTGTGAGTATGATAACTGCACGCTGAGACTGTCAAGGGCATCTGAAGGGTCAGTCAAAGAAGAAGATATTGAGGACATTCGAGGCTATCGTGCATCCTTAACAGGCCTGGTGGAACACGTGTGTTCCCTCATGTCCAGACACGTGGCTGCTGGCTAAGTCAGCTCCTTCCTCGTTGAGTGTTTCTGCCTGTACAGCAGCATCAACGACGAGAAATCCATTGTGAACATCGGTATTGCTGCAGCTTCCTTGT